TTCTTTCTTTTTTTTTTGTGACAGGTCTCACTAAGTGGTTCAGTCTGTCCTCGAACTCACTAAGTGGCCCAGGCTGGCCTCAAATTTGAGGAAACCTTCCTGCCTCAACCTCCCAAGTGCTAGGATTACAGGCATGTACCACCACTCCTGACTGGGAACTGACTTTTTTTTTTTACTTTCCTTACAAAATTTTTTTTTAATATTTTACAAAAACAAATTTTTTTTTAATTTCTTCTGAAAAATCTGATGGGGGAAATAGAGCAAAACAGCTGGGCGTGGTGGTGCACACCTGTAATCCCAGCACTCAGGAGTCTGAGGCAGGAGGATCACTGTGAGTTCAAGACCTGCCTGGGCTACATAGTTGAGTTTCCAGGTCAGTCTCAACTACATAGTGAGACCCTATCTTAGAAAACCAAAAAAAAAAAAGAACAAAGAAAGAAAATAGAGCAAAGCAAATGAGACAAAGCCCATGCCTTCAAGGAGCGTGTGGCTAGGTGGGAAGCCAGCAGACAAATCACGTGCTCAGTAGTGGCACAGGCCTAGGCATCTTGTCTGTCAGGCACTGAGCTCACTGGCATGGGCTGTCCCCTTCCATTCTCACAGCAGCCCTATGCAGTTTGAGAGACAAGGAAAAGGTCTTGGTGCTTTGCTAGTAAATTGTGCGGCCAAGCCAACAAAGTACAGAAAGCCTTTCTTCAACAAAGGGTTGAGGGGTCAGGATGTAGCCCAGCAGGGTGTCTGCCTTGCAAGCACAAGGTCGTGAGTTCGATCCCTGGTACGAGGTGGGGGTTGAGGTGAAAGGTACATTCTGGCAAAGTGAGGAAGGATTTGGGGTGGGTGTGTGCGTATGTTTTCCCACTGCCATAAAACAGCGTCTGGTTTTTCCTGGGCGGGGCAGCGGATGCCGAGGCCCTACCCGCAGGTGAGCTTCCCCGACGACGACGAGGAGATCGTGCGCATCAACCCCCGGGAGAAGATCTGGATGACGGGCTACGAGGACTACAGGCACGCGCCAATCAGGGGCAAGTACCTGGACCCCTCGGAGGACGCGGACTCCTACGTGCGCTTCGCCAAGGGCGAGGTCCCCAAGCACGACTACAACTACCCCTACGTGGACTCCTCAGACTTCGGCCTGGGCGAGGACCCCAAAGGCCGCGGGGGCAGCGTGATCAAGACGCAGCCCGCCCGGGGCAAGTCCCGGCGGAGGAAGGAGGATGGTGAGCGCTCGCGCTGCGTGTACTGCAGGGACATGTTCAACCACGAGGAGAACCGGAGGGGCCACTGTCAGGACGCTCCCGACTCCGTGAGAACTTGCATCCGCCGCGTGAGCTGTATGTGGTGTGCGGACAGCATGCTCTATCACTGTATGTCGGACCCCGAGGGAGACTATACAGACCCTTGCTCGTGCGACACTAGCGACGAGAAGTTTTGCCTCCGGTGGATGGCTCTTATTGCCTTGTCTTTCTTGGCCCCTTGTATGTGCTGTTACCTACCCCTTCGGGCCTGCTACCACTGCGGAGTGATGTGCAGGTGCTGCGGCGGGAAGCACAAAGCGGCCGCCTGACTCGGTTTCCGCTCCTTCCCCTCCTCCGTCCACAACCACAAGGGAACTTGTTGTCTTTTACATACTCTCATCTTCTCCCCTGCTCCCTTCTACTCCAAGGGGCGAGGAGAGGCACCATTCCAGCCTGGGGAACCCGCCTGGTGGACTTCCGGTCCCCAGCACCTGCCACTTCGTCCGCACTCATACACACTGGCGCAGTGTTCTGAGGAAAGGAACTTTCTGCATAGACTCGTGTATTATTACCAGCCTGTACTCAAGCTCTCTCATCCTTGTGTTGATTTTCCTGTCTCTCCTCCCACCCTGTCTCTTCCAGTTCAAAAGGATCTGCAGTGCAAACTGCTGATTTTTGGTGGGTTTTGTCGTTGCTTTTTCCAAAAGCACCTAAGAGAATCTTTCTCTCGGGTGGGCTTGCCTTTTGCTGGCCAGCATCAGGTTCCTGCAGAGATGTGACCGAGCAATGAAACAAACCTACCAGAAGTATTCTAACCTGCAGTCAGTTATTATGTATAGGAGGTGAGCTTGTCAACAATCTTGTACCCCAGACAATGCCGCTTTCACTTGTCTGCCCCACCCACCTAAAATCTGTTGGATTTATTCACAGGCGCAAAACATTCACCTGTAAAATGACCGAGAATTGAGCCTTAACTTCAGATTAACTTGTGAGAATCAGGAAAAATTCCTTAAACTGCATTGCATCCTCGTGGACCAGGGCTTGAAAGGGGATTTCAGGTTTCTATGAGCCTCCCCAGTTACCCATGAAATAGAACTTTTAAAAATTGTGTTGCCACCACTTGTTTAAAAAACAAAAAACATAGCAATATTAGAATAAGATGCTAATGAATTCAGAAATTTTGCTTATTGTTTTGCAAACCAAATATAGTCTATTCAAACACCAACCGGTGTTCCACAAACAAGTTCCTGTTGAAAAACACTTAAGATTGTGGTGAATAAAACTAGGAGCTTCCCCCTGCCCTGCTACTGTTTTATATTAATCAGGGGGAATTTTAAATGTCATGAATTTGAAGAGTAGTGGTTTGCATTTTGTTTGTAGGATTATGTTTTTGTTTTCATTTTGGACTCAATTTCTTGTCACCAAATTCTTCATTTATACTTGGGAAAAAACAAGGCCATATGTAAAAACCCTTCCAATGCCTAAGTGTCTTTCTCCTGCAGCTTCACACCCAGACTTGCCACTTCGGGTGCACAAATGGTTAGGTCAGCTGACTGATTCTACCTGTTGCCTTGCCATGTAGGAGGCTCTAGTTAGCTGGAAAAGAGTATTTTTCTAACATATTGCAAGGCATAACCAAATCTTCTTACTGAAGAAAAAAGAACGTGAAGAATGGTTACTTGTACCTAGCATAGTACAATCAGAACCTCGTGGAGACCACAGGGGACAGGCCTGTCCACGCTGGTTGTTCTTCCCGCCAGTCTTCCGGTGGTAATTGCCAGCTGAAGGCATGGCCCGGTCTCCTCTCCTCCCTTCCCTCATCCCTTTATTGCACACACGACATCAGTCTTCAAGGAAAGGGACTTTCTTGCAGTCCGCCAGTCTTACTGGGAAAATGCTAGCCATGCTTACCTTCGTGGGAATGTTTTCCGCACGCCTGAGAGCCCATCCCATTTCTTTAGACAGACCATCAGTGTAAATACCCAGTGTGCTTATGAGTTAGTTGGTAGACGTTTTCATTTGTTGGAATGACTGGTTGGGGCTTTCCAGTGTAGGAACGGAGCAGAGAGCAGTCCGTCTGGATCGATGGAAGAGAAGAACCCTTCCCTGCCGGAGGAACATCTAGAAAACCCTCAGCCAGCTCTCATGCCGTGGAGAGACCATCTGCCCCCAGCCCAAGGTGTCACCTTAGGGCGTCTCTCTAAGGTCACCTCTCTACAAAGCACAACACTAATGTATGCCTCCTCAGACCTCAGTTCAAACGCCCCTATTTATTTCACTGAAGACACACATCCCAGCGGCTTTGTGCTTGTCGCCTCTGGTCGTTCCTTGTTCTGCCCCCTTGCTGGTGCCCACCCCTTGTAAGAGTTATGCTGGTGAGTCTTACTCGGCAGACGCTTTGGTTTGAAGGCTGTGGTTAAGGGCACAAAGACAACCCTGGGGACACCTGTGTAAATACGTCTCTCTGATGGCCACACTGCTGCTGAACTGTGTGTAGTATTTTCCCAGTCGGCTTTGCCATACTCACCTCAATCATTTGAGAGGGATTATTCAGATTTTATTTTTGTATCTGTGGTAACAAACATTAACCAAAAGATTTTGTTCGGAGGCTTCCCCCAGTGCCCCCAACCCCAAGCTGTTTGCTCACATTAACAAATGAAAAGTGCCTGAAGCATAATTCATTCTTTATCTGTATACTAAAAACCCTGTTGTATTGATTTTTTTATAATAAGCCTTTTTACCTCTGTGTAAAAAATATATATACAAGTGTATGATGTACATTTTAGTTCTTAACTTTTTTGTATGGTTTCTAATATGTATGACCAATGTAGCCATTGCTTTCAGATGTACCCTGTAAATGCAAACACATCCTACCAGATTGCTGGTGTCGGGTGTTTGTCTGGCTGGAGACAGTGCCTGTTGATCCTGGGCAGACCTGGGAATTCTAGCACACAAGATAGGATGGGGTTTCCTTTGCAGAAGGATGTGTGCAAAGACACGGGTCTGTCTGCGAGGCCCTTCCCGCCTTCGATTGTGTCATATTCCCCAGGGGAGACTGCAGCTCCTTGGGCACAGATGCCTCAAGTGAAAGGAATGCTGCACGTCGCCACTCGGGGAACACCCCCTCTTCCTCCGCCGGCCTCCCCCAACCAAGTGCTCCTCAGAGGGAACAGCTGCACTTCCTCTGGGTTATTTTCCACTGGTTCCTGCTGGACCTCAGGGGGGTGTGTAGTTTGGAAGACAATTTCTCACAGAAAACAATTGTTCAGACTGCACGACCCTTGTTCTCCTCGGAGCAGCTCTCTGGGCCCACTCTCCTTTCCACGTGGACTCAGTGCGCAGAAGCTGTAGTGACAATCCCCAGGAGGAAATAAAGTATGGGGTCTTCTGAGGGTCACAGAGGAAAAGTTTTCAGCTCTTTCTCTAGAGAACTAAGTAGGGTCCTTACAGAAAGAAGTACAGAGGGCCCCTACATCTTACTTTGAACTCTTCCCCAAAGGGGTGACTTTTCCAAGCCACTGGCAAAGATGAAAAGCAGCGAGGTGTCCTAGGAGCTAGGAAGCATGAGGGAAACCCAGAGGACTCTTCCAGAGCTGCTGTGGGGAAGACCTTAAATGACCCTCTCCTATCTTCGAATTCTCCTTGTCTGATTCGAGCTGAATTGAGGTAACCTGGAGTCAAATGAGGCAGTGACTGAGCCGAGCTGGCTGCGGAGCACAGGTCCTTTGCACCTGCTGCAGAGACCTGCCTCAGCCCTCAGGCTGCTTCAGGAACCCTACACATGTCACCTTTAACCCTAGGCAAAATGGAGGATTCCTTTAAAATTTCATGTAGAAAAGTGGTGTAAAAAACATGGTGTAACTCAAATCAGGTCAGTAGACAGTCTGCCACTACTGGCAAATAGCATTTCAGCAGGTGACTACCTTTCTTGAGTTGCCTTGGGTGCAACTGTTAACAGACTGAAGTCCAGCTGGTTGCCAGAAATCATACCAGTAAAAGACAGAAGAAAGCCAGATACGACAACACATCAGCGAGGCAGGTATAACAGAATAGGCAGAGTCCATTCCTGTTTCTGGTCTATAGCCCCAACCCTAAACCTAACCTCTAAGCAAGCTGGTCTTGGTGGTGCATACCTGCAATCCCAGTACTCTGAAGGCTGATGCAGGAGGATTGCCGTGAGTTCAAGGCCAGCCTGAAATACAAAGTGAGACCCTATTTTAAAAAAATAGAAACCCTAAGCAAACTAACTACTAACAATAATATTAACCCTAGCCTTAGCCCTAAGCCTAAGCCCTGTGAACATTTACTTCTATGGGAATAAGTGCCAAGGAAGGGCCGGGATTTAGCTCAGCGGTTCAGTGGCCTGCCTCGCAAGCACAAGGACCCGAGTTCGATCCCTGGTACCCAAAAATAAACAAATTAATAAAAAAATTTAAAAAGTGCCAAGGAAAATCTGATTCTGCAAGCTTCATTTAAAATAGCAGAACAAATCTGTGATATCAGTCTTATAATACAGAGGTCATGCTAGAGGGACATTCAGAACTCTAGCCTGCATTTCAACAAAATAACACCATTTTAGGGCCACAAAGAAAAACAGCCACAGAATTGGGGAATTTAGATCAGTGGTGTTGCCCCTGCCTGGCGGTCCTGAGTTCAATCCCTGGTACCAAAAAAAAGCAAGAGAAACTCTGAGTCAGCAACCATCATTTTTGTATCCCCAAATCTAGACTTACTTTAACACTAACCTTAATCCTAGCCCTAGCCATAACACTCACCTTAAACCTAACACCTAACCTTATCCCCTAGCCCTAAGCTAATGCTAACCCTAAAACTAACACATCCCTAACCATACACAAGAACAAAAGCCTAAGCCTAAATTTAGACCTAATCCTTAAGGCTGATAAACCTAACCTTTGACCTTGCGAAGACATGCCAGACTATTCCTTGGCTGCCTTTGTCCCCTTACTAGAATGAAGTCAAATATATCCTTGTTCCTTTTCCTTGGGATGAATCCTCAGGAGTCCAGTCTTCTATGCTGAATTGTTTTATTTACCCCACTTTGGGCACCACTTATCACAATGTGTGACCATGGCTGCATAGAAAATGAAAGATTACTGAGGCAAGACTTAGTTCAATCACGGAGAGGACCAGAGGGCTATTGGAACAAAAGCACCCAGCATTAGGGAAACTCCCAGGAGTAGCACTGGGAATGAGAATTCTCAGGCATTTATTTAGAATATCAATGTAAGAAAGTGAAAAGACAACATGTAAAATGGGAAAACGGTCTTTCCAGTTGTTCCTCAAACAGACTAATATGTAGATTATATAAGAACTAAAAAAAAAAAATCAGACCCATTCCAAAGAGTTTAAAGACACAATCCAAAAATGGGCATCTGAAATGAACAGACACTTCTCAGTTGAAGAAGCACAAATGGCAATCAAATATAAGAAAAAATGTTCATCCTTGGTCATGTGTGGGATGCAAATTAAAATAACACAGATTCCATCTCACTCCAGAAAGAATGGCTATTATCAAAATATCAACTAAAAACAAATGCTGGTCAGGCTATAGGAGAAATGGAACGCTTCTCCACTGTTGGTGGGAGTGTAGACTGGTGCAAACACTGTGGAAATCAGTGTAGAAATGCCTCAAAAAACTAAAAGTCGGGCCAGGGGTTTAGCTCAGTGGCAGCACATCTACCTCACAAGCACAAAGTCCTGAATTTGATCCCTGGTACCAAAGACATATAAAACATAAAAATCAAACAACAAAAAAAAACCCCTAAAACTAGAGGGTCCATTTGACCCCATTATTTTCCTTGTATCTCCCCCAAAGAATTAATAGTGCATAGCACAGTAACATATGCACACCCATGTTTATAGCAACACAGTTTGTAATAGCTAAATCTTGGGTGTGGCCCAAATGCCCATCAACCGATGAATAGATAAGGAAGATGTTCTTTTTACACAATAGAGTACTATTCTGCCATAAAAAAAAGATGGACTTGAGACATTTATAGCTAAATGGATGCACCTTGAGAACATACTCTTATGTGAAATAAATCAGACACACATGTTTAAATACTGCATTGTTTCTCTGGTGAGAGAAATCAAAAGTGGAAATAAGGACTGAAATGTACAATAGATTTGGGAAATGGGAAGAAAATGTTCGAATGGGAAGGGGAACAAGGGACAGTGGAGGGAGAAAGGAAGGCACAAGAAAAAGCAAGTAAAAATAGAAGGAAAATGGAAACAGTTTTGTTTTGTTTTTCTATCAGGGATCAAACTCAGGAACTTGTGAGGCAGACACAGTGCCACTGAGCTAAATCCCCAGCCCAAAACAAAGCTTTTGTACATAAGGAGGTGTGTCAGTTACTTTTCTCTCATTGCTGAGACAAAATACCAGACAACCAAAGTTAAAGGGGAAGAGGTTTATTTGTCTTACAGTTCATAGAGGCTTCAGTCCATAATCAGCCAACCCCAAGGCAAGGCTAACAAACAGATGGCAGAACAGAAACTACATGGCGCACTCAAAGCAGCAAAGGCAACATGAGAGTTGACAGTGTCTCCCTGCCCCTTTTGTCTTAATCAGACTACGTAGGGCCAGTGGCACTCACACCCTTAATCCTAGTGCCCTTGAGCCTAACATTGCATCATGAATCAATTCCAGCTTCACACACTCTAGATCGAGCCTATGACTACATGAGGCTTTGGGGGGACATCAAGACCCAAACCATAACAGAGAGGAGGGGAGGGGGGCTTGCAGGAGAGAATGGGAAAAAAGAATACTCAAGATATATTATGTACAGGTACAGTTTCCCTACGATGAATGTGCTCATTATGTATATCTAAAATGTACCGATAAAATTAATTGAGAAAAAAAGTATATCCGTATAAGGGGAAACAAAGCAGAGGAAAAGCAATTTGGATAAGAAACGGTCTCAAGCCTAAGCAGTTTGTTGGGGAAAACAGAAGGACAAGGCCAAATACAACATGCTTCACTAACTGAAGTTCTTGTTTAACCATTCACTTCTCACAGAGCCTGCACGCTTTTGCCCTGAAGCTTCACCATTCATTATTTGATTAAGACCCCACACAGCCAGTCACCTCTGTGTGTACAAGAGGACCGAGGAAAATATGAGTTTGTTAGCTTTATTTAAAGGAGCAGAACAAATCTGTGACATCAGTTAGTCTTTTAACCGAGAGTTCATGTTAGTGAGACATTCGGAACTCTGCTGCCTACTGCTTTTCAACAGAGCTGAATAGCAATTTTTAGGACCGTTATTCAATATAGGGACCTGATCCAGGCATGGTGGTGCATGTCTATAATCCCACCTTTTGGGGGGCTGAGGCAGGAGGATCACCATGAGTTCAAGCCCAGCCTAGACTATATAGTGAGTTTGGAGCTAGTCTGACCTACAAAGCAAGACCTTCTCACCAAAAACAGAAAAAGAAAAAAAAAAAAAATATATATATATGCCCGATATACGTGCATTCTGAAAAATCAATATTGAATATAGGCAGACAGTACAAAGAATGTAATCAGACTCCATTCCTGTTAGTCTATACTCAATCCCTAAGAACTCTAGCAGTTACAAACTTCATTTTACTCACTATTTTTACATTGTTTTCTACAGGGAGAGGAGTGCTAAGGAAAATATGAGTCAAAAATTTTTATTTTTAAAAATATTTATCCAGTATTTTTGTTTGTTTGTTTGTTTTTGGTACCAAGTGTCCAACCATGCACTTGCCAGGTAGACAAGACACCACTGAGCTAAATCCATGGCCCTATTTTTTTAAATCTTAAGAAGCCCTACTTCTAGTCCTAACCTAACCCTAACCCTAACCCTAAACCATACCCCAAAAGCTAACCCAGTCCTATTCTAGCTTTAAGCC